TCCTCCACTCTCAGGGGAACTGAGGTGCAGAGCGCCACGGCTCACTCGGGTCATGCACTGTGCTTCCTCCACTCTCAGGGGAACTGAGGTGCAGAGCGCCACGGCTCACTGAGGTCACACAGCTCCAAGCACCAGCATCTGTCTGTCATGTTCTTGTCCTGTCCACTGAGCACTGTGAGCCAGAAGAGATCCCTGGGGAAAGAGAGCTGGACCTGTGTGCTCTTTGTGTGAAGATGGTTTCTGGGGGATCCAGAGACCTGCATATTGCTACCCCGGAGGCGCCACCATCTTCCTCTATTCTCTCAGTGCTTCTCTATCCCCCAGGAATGGGTCAGGTGGATTCACCAGGCAAACCAATCACAGTACAAAGGTGAGCTGTTAGGTCTGCACCAGGAGAAGATGATTTCAAAATACCTGTGAAAATGGCTGCTGCAGAGAGCCAGGGAAGGAGCCAGGAGGGCAGTGGGGACGGCCGCAAAGTCAGTACAGCCACAGTGTTACGGAGCAGGGCAGGGAACCGTGAACATAAAATTCCCAAAGCCAGTGGGGACCCAACTCCCATGTGGCAGAACTGTTTAAGAATGCATCTGGGGAAGAGAAAACAATTATCTTGAATTAAGCCTTGGAGGAAGAAAGTTTTCCAGCTGGCAGATGCAGATGAGGGACCTGGGTGTGAGTGGGCGCCTTGGGCTGCACACACCCTGGAAGTGGAGGGTGCTCAGCTGCCTTGTAGGGTGTGAGCCACGGCTCTCAGAAGCCCTGCTCTCACTGACTGGCAAGCTCAGCCCATCCTGTTCATCTGGGCTGAGAACTGCTCAGAATCACAAATCAGTGAGGGAGACGATGGGGAGCAGCCACATCAAAGAGGCCACTAAGTGGCAGCCGCCACATTAATGTGATCCCTGGAGATGGGCAGAACCACAGCTGCTGCCCCTTCCCTCACACGAGCAGCTTCTGTGAGGGTACATGACCCCTCCCCCTCTACCTGGAGCCAGGACGCACCTGCCGGGGGAAGCAGCTCTGGGGAAGAAGCCAGACGGCTGTATGGTCCTCAGCGGCCGTAGTGCCTGCCACCTGCCAAGTGGCCCACTGCCCTGGGGGTGAGGCCTCCTGGCCCGCTTGCCCCTGCCAGAGACATTACTGTCATAACCTTTCTCGTCCTCATGTCCTCTGAAGGCAAGGTGGGATGGATATGAGTGTATTTTAATGTGAGTGAAATATATGGGGGTTTTGTTTGCAACATCTCTTGATGATAATTACTGCCATTCACTAAGCGCGTCACTAGGTGGTAACTACTCTACGAGGCACTTCCACTGGGTCCTGCTGTTTGCTGTGGTCAGTTCCATTTAGCAGATGGAGAACTGAGGCCGGAGCATAACTACCTTCCTCTGTCTGGTTACGTGGCAGGGCTGCGGTTACCCTTGTCTGTCTTTGCATCACAGCTATCCCTCAAAGGCCCTCTCTACATGGAAGACAGACAGCAAGGTGGAGCTGTCAGAGCCTGCCTGGGCTTTGGAGTGAAGCAGACCAGGGGCTCCGACCTCAGCCCTGCTGCCTCCTCTTTACACACCAGTGGGCAGGTCACTCCACCCCTGCAGCCTGGCTTCCTCAGCTACAAAATAGATACAACACCCTGGTTAGTGCTTTGAATGGTGGTTAAACGAGACTCTATGGGAAAAGTAGACCTAGGATGTTAACAGTGGTTGGTATTAATGGCACCGTTTGCTGTATGTAGACTAGGCAGGCAGAGTTCATGTTGAACCCTAACCCCCAACGTGATGGTGTTAGAAAGTAAGGGGCCTTGGGAGCTAAGCAGGGCATGAGAGCAGTGCCCTCAAAGAGGGGTCCCAGATCGCTCCCGTGCTCCTTCTACTACGTGGAGACCCAGAGAGAAGACACCATCTGTGAACTGGGGAGTGAGTCCTCCCAGACACCGGCCAGAGCCTGGACTGTAGACTTCCCAGCCTCCAGAACTGTGAGGGTCAAATGTCTGTTGTTCATAAGCCACCTAGTCTGCAGGACTGTCACAGCAGCCTTTATTAATAATGACAGTCTTAACAAATTGTGGTATGTGTACACCATGGAATATTATGTAGCCCTAAAAAAGATGGAGACTTTACCTCTTTTATGTTTACTTAGATGGAACTGGAACATATTATTCTTAGTAAAGTACCTCAAGAACAGAAGAAAAAGCATCCAGTGTACTAAGTAGTATTATGAAACCTATATATAATCAACCAAACTTTCATATGAAAGATAAAATACAGCTATAGTCCAGGAGGAAGGAGGGAAGGGGAGGGGAGAGGGTGGGTGGAGGGAGGGTAATGGGTGGGACCTCACCTATGGTGTATATTGCAAAGATACGTGTCAGATGTATTAAGAGTAGCGTATAAGTGTCATAACACAATAATTAAGTAAGTGAGGTGAAGGCTATGTTAACCAGTTTGATGTAAGCATGCCAAATTGTATATAGAATCAGCACATTGTACCACATAAATGCATTAATGTGTACAGTTATGATTTAATAAAAAAAAAATTTAAAAAAGAACCAAATAGCACCGTGATGGTTTACAGCAGAAAACCGTTCTTGGACCCTCACAAGCGACTGCTGTCACATCTGCCACGTGCTTCCTGTGGCGGTGCCTCTAGACCCTCACAAGCGACTGCTGTCACATCTGCCACGTGCTTCCTGTGGCGGTGCCTCTAGACCCTCACAAGCGACTGCTGTCACATCTGCCACGTGCTTCCTGTGGCAGTGCCTCTAGAACCTTGAATGGTCCGCTGAGGCTGATTTCCTGTCTTACCACTTTGAGGCATTATCTAGTGATTTCCTAACTTGACACTTGGAGAGTTAGCACTTCTCTGACTTCACCTCCCCCATTCTGTGTTCAGCATTTCTTTTTAAATTTTGATTAAATCAATAGTTAGTAAATAAATTATTACAACCTTGTAAGTAAAAAAAAAATAATGACAGTCACCTGAATCACTTTTACTGCACCTTGCTTGGTATGGAGTAGAACAGATTTGATGCATAACCTGAGTTTACAAAAAGCACTTTGTCTTTTTCCAAACAGAGTAAACAAGAGCACTATAGAGGTAGAAATTATTTTATTTAAACATGAAGGGGAAATAATTTTTGTGAGATTTCTTGGATTAGCAAATGATTATAACTTATATCATAAATGCCATAGAAATAAATACCAGCTGCTGACAGCAGTAATATTGGGGAGTTTTCTTCCAAGGTATTGGAGCGTCTTCTAATAGCTTTGAGTAGAGAGGGTGGTTGCTGGGATGGTAAACTAAATGTCCATGTATTTATTTAACATGTACGTATGAGGTGCCTACTGTTGGCCAGGCACCGTGCTTGCTGGGCCCTGGGGCTACAGTCTTAAATAAGGCAGTATCAGTCCCTGCCAGAAAGTAGCTTATAATATTTGTGGGATGGCAAATAGTATTTTAAAATTAATTGCAACATAAACAATTACCCAAACAATTATTGATTATGGTAATGAATTCCAGGAAAGAAAGAATTTGAACTAAAAACTGTACGTCAGGGGAGCCGAACCTAGATTTAGTCTTTGAGAAAGCTTCTTTAAGGAAAAGACATCTAAACTAAACTGACGCCGTGCAGGACTAGAAGTTGACCAGAGGAAGGTAGGGAAGAGAACACTTCACACAGGATTATCAGGTGCAGAGGCCCTAGACAAGAACTAATTTAGTTTATTCAAGGAACTGCAGGAAGGCCAGTGTGGCTGGAGATCAGTGAGCAAGAAGAGAGACAGAGGTGGAGAGGAGGGGCTCCTGGAGTCCACAAGAGCCAGACCACACAGGGATTGTAATTCCATCCTAGAGCGAGGAAATTCCATTTTTAGCTTTATTTCTCTTCTAATATGTGCATTTAAACTTTTCTGTAAACTTCTCTGTAAGCACAGTTTTAGCTGCATCCTGTAAGTTTTGATGTATTTTTCTTATAATTAAGTTCAAAATGTTTCTAATTTTCATTCTGATTTCTTCTTTGATTCATAAGTTATTTCAAAGTATGTTGGTTAGTTTCTGAACAGTTGCAAACTTCCTAGTTATTATAATTGATTTCTAGTGTAATGGTGCTATGATTACAGAACATAGTCTACATTT